GAAGAGCGGAAAGATGTTGGGGAGGATAGGCATAACGAATTTCCCTCGCATCTTCGCGTTCGCGCATTCGTCACGGAGTCATTGCTATTCAACGACAACGTGTTCGGCTCGTATTGATTAGCAAATTGATAATCGAGAAAAATAACGAATGGCTTTACAACGTCAGTATATTCTGGGACCACAGTCTCTTGCGGACCTTTGTCCTCTCGCGTCCCTACGTATCCCTTAAACAGAGAAGCACGTTGATTTTTTTTCTGCGCGAATCCGCTATGAAAATATATACGCTCGAGGAAGAGAGAGTATTACCTCAGAATAACTTTCTCCATTAGCATAGATAGGCGTCCTTCCGAGTGATTGGGCGGAAGTAGGGACTTAATGAGTTCGCGGATAAGAGACTCCGTCATGCCTGGCGACGTGCGTTCTGCCGATTCAAAAGCGCCCCGCAATTCTTCAATAACACCGCCATTCTTGCTACCGCTACCACCTTCGCCATTATTGTCTCTCGCCGAATATTGGTGCTTTCGTTGAAGCTGCAACACATACATTGTCAGAAATATAAATCATTGCCATAATATCTTTACACATTTATACTTTTATCATTTTACATGTAATTCATTATATACCTCGGAAAGCAGAGGCATGACAACGCCGGACAGAGCGACGCTTCGCGGATGTTTGAGTTCCTGCGAACTTCTGGGCCTCTGTTTATCCTCGCCGGGTCTGTGATCAGCCATCGAAGTGATGGGTACTTCCGGCTTACTGTTTCTCCTCTTCTCCCGCGTGTTAAAGTCTCTGCTGGCTCTATCTCGATCTCTGCCTTCCCTATCTCGTTCTCGCTCCCTTACACCTTCTCGATCTCTCTCGCGACCGTCGCGCATCTCCTTCGACTCTCTGAGCGTAGATTCTCGGCTCAAATCACGATAGTCCCGCTCGTCTCGTTTCTCTCTCGTATCCACCGGTGGTGGAGGTGCAGCTTCGTGTGGTCGGGACTAAAAAAGAAAAACGGAAAAAATGTAAACATGAAATATCACATAATAAAAATCGATTATATATATAATGGTAACATACCGGCGTATGTTTCGCTTGACCATCGCGCAACGAGTCTCTGGACTCGCTTCTGTAATGATTAAGCATAGTGTCCTTCGGCGGTGATCGCGAAGCACCGTTGGCATGCGGTTTGCTCGGTTGGCTGTGATTGGAGGACCTGTGATTCGTGTGCGTTAGGGTCAGGGATGCGGGCTGCTCGTCCAGTGGCAACATAGGCATCACGGATCCTTTGACCCCGTGCGGGCCTTTCACCGTCATTATCCACGGCTCGTCCATGTCGCTGTCTTGCTTGGATTCCTCCCTGAACACCGTGTAATACAGCGTGTTATAATTTACTACCGCCGCTCTTCGGACATAATCTATTATACCGTACGATTGATAAATGGCTCCAAACTGGTTCTTTCTCTTTTTACACGTTCAAGATATAAATTTATTATGGAATTAATACGGCAGAAAAAAAAAGTTCTCAATGTGTGTAACACACGAAGATAACAAGCGGCCGGTTTTTACTTTCGTATGAAACGTGAACAGAAACGCGAGGATCGAGATACTCACGAGTCCGAATTCTCACTCTCGGTCTCCGACTCTTCGCTGCGCTGCGATTTCCACTTTTTGTACCTATCGATCAGGTCGATTAGATACGAGTTCTTCTTTGCCTTTCTGATAAACTGGAATTTTAGCAGCTCCTTTGCTGTCGGCCTCTATACAAGTATAATACAACGATCGATGAATAAAAGTTAATCGCATTTTCTTTTATTGAAGTCTCTGATCTTTTAAATTAAATTTCTATTGTACTGTTCTTTGTGCTGTCTTGTTTAAATCACTTTTTTAATCACAATAAAGATATCGAATTGTTCGACAGCATCAAACACATTTTCGAACGAGATAATCGGCTAATAACTCAAAACGCGGTCAGCCGCAAATATAACGGTACACTCACGTTTTCAGGATCCTTATTGAGGCAGGCTTCGACAAATTCCTTGAACTGTTTCGTATAATTCCCTGTCAGTTGCGGCGGATTGTTCTTGGGTATTAGGAAGAGGACCCTCATGGGATGCAGCTCGCTGTTGGGAGGTTCTCCTTTCGCGAGCTCAATCGCCGTGATGCCCAGAGACCAAATGTCAGCCTGTGGAATAATCACTCGCGGAGTTACTACTACTGGTAGCCAGATGAAGCGCTAACGATATGCTAATGAAAACATGACCGCGCCACTTTTCCAAAATGACAAATAAAATGAGCGCTTCGAAAAAAGATGAAGAATAAAAAAGCAAAGCACAGTGAGCATTAAATTTAAGTCTAATTAATAAAGAGTTAGTTTCATATTTCATAAAAAAATTGATAGTAACATTATACCAATAATCTTTTAAAATATGAATAAAGATATTTATTTCTTCAGAAATAGTGTTCGCGTTATATATTCTTTTTTAATTTTCGACAATATATGATTTATAATTTATAGTTAACGCAATTACCTTGGAATCGTAAGCGGACTGTTTGATAACCTCGGGTGCCATCCAGAATGGCGTGCCGACGAAAGTGTTTCGTTTGCTGGTGGTGTTTGTCAACTGGCCGGCTACGCCGAAATCGGCCAACTTGACGTCGCCCATTTCGCTCAGTAACACATTTGCCGCTATAAAATTGAAAAAAGATCGTCAATTAATCTCTTATTTATAAAATAACGTAAAAATTAATAAAGTAAATTATACGTTATACACTCAAGACAAAAGCAAATTTTATTTTCCATGTAAATTTATCATAAAGAAAAATTATTAATAAAGGACTAACATCTTCTTTTTGATAGAGAGAAAAGAGTCTAGCATCACAGTTAATTTTCTGCGGAATTTAGTTGGATGAAACTTTATAATTAGCATGATTATTTTTAGTGTCTTACTAAAAATTATCTTCTACGAAATCTCTTGGCACCGAGCGTTAAAGTGTTAATCATAAACATCTTTCGAGCCTTATCGAGCGGATATACCTTTAATGTCGCGATGCAGTTTACGCTCGCTGTGCAGATAATCCAGCCCTTTGAGCACTTCGCGTAATATCACGGCAATGTGCATCTCCTCAAAGCTACCGGCCTTCATCAAGTCCAGGGCCGAGCCGCCACCCAGGTATTCCATGATGATCCACAGCTTCGTACCCTGTCGAGCAGAACGAATATGGGTTCGAATAAGAACTGCTGCGGAGATGCGTAACAGATTTGCGTACTGGCAATTCCGGCGATAAAAATCAAAGAGTCTCGGGCAGCCGCCAATTAACGAAAATAGATCGTTTCGCCAAACGATCGTTATTTCCGATCGGGGTGGACCTTGAGACGTTATTAAGGAAAATGGGTTGGAAAATATTATGATATAGCTTCTGCTGCGTCACGATATATTTCTGAGATATTTTCCACGCGTGACTACTCGAGGGTTGTCGCTGATATTTCAACAATTTATATGCAGATTTTTTTTTAACTATGTCCAAAATAATTATTAAAAATAGTTTAGCTATTTACAATTTTATGATTAAAAAAACAAAATTTTTCTTGATACTGAGAGATAATCACGCGGGTATGTATATCGTACTTTAATGTGAGACAGATTGACTGCAAAGTGGCGATCAGCGATACAGAGCAAGCAATATCCTGTTACGAGAATGAGACGACCTTTCCTCAACAACGGACGGCGATATGATTAATCCCGCGGTCGTTCCGGTAATGAAGATTTATCACTCCTCGAACAGTCGTAAATTAATGTCTAATATGAGGGTTGTTAAGGAAAGCGTCGTCGTTTCCTATGCGGCCTATTAATTTTCCCCGAGCATGTTGCGCTCCAAGGTAACGCGCGTCAGCGCTGACCGGATCTTACGCGCGGTAATTATATCCGACATCGATGACCAATCACTGTGCGACTTATCGGATAAATTATACAGCGTGCGTTAATGATGATAATGTTGGCAATGATGTTGGTGATGGTGGTGTAGCGAGGACGATAAAACCGATGAGTTATCGCGCGTTAATAATCAGCACAACCCGAGCTAGTGATCCGAGGATACCGACGAAGATTTACGCCCTTTGTTCAATCGATTATAAAGAAATAATTGATTGATCGTCCTCCCACCCCCGGAGGTGTATCGGCCGCGGCCTTGCAATTACGCGCCACTGTGTATATTATATGCCACTCCCTTCCTCGCCGCACTTTATTCCCCTCGCCACTGGCTTGCAAAGTGAAAGTATATGCAGCGTTATGAGAAACAAAACATGAGCCCTTTGTCACATTGCTATTTTAGAAAAATTCTGCAAACTTTCGAATTTTAATTCTGTTAATTACACAGTATTAATTGTTAAATCAACAATAAAATGAAATCGTGTATAGAAGATTGAACATTTCAAGATAAAAAGTCAGTTTATGGTTTCTTGCTAAAAGAATCTTTCCTCTCCGAAGGACAAGATAAACGAGGGGAGATACTATCCCGTGTGAAAGTACATACATCGTCAGATTTTTCATATTCATCTACCTTTATGGAATATCCTAAGTATCCCCGGGAGACTCTATAAGTCTCGGCTCCGACTTTCGCTCGACGTACGGTTGACGCGCGCCATCGTTTTATGACAAATAATTTTCGTAGTTTAAGCAGGTCGACTGGGGACATTCGCCAGGATGGCGAGGACGGCCGCCCATAAAATGGGCACCATTTATCACCGTCGGCCGGTCAAGAGGCTTGCTCGGAGTGCGCCCCACTTTTTCCCCCTTTAGATCGTCTCGAGGTAGGTGGCCGTCGTTGTCGACATAGAGGGTTCGTTCAACCCGATTTCGACCGCCTATCTCTGTGAATTTCTACGCGAAGAGGTTTGCTATGTCATTCCTCTTGTTCGATAGACCCTTTGTCTTCCTTCGTACGGAAGAGGCAAGAGAAGGTTGACAGGTAGTTGGCCGATTTATCGAGAGCGTTATCAGAGATATCAATTTTGAGACAACTATAGATTAAATTTCCGAGGGGGATAATAAGAAAGTTAATTGCGCGCGAAGAGGGTTAATCAACGAGTGTTAATGAGCCTTGCCAGAGCAAATATCGACCAAGAATCGTAAAGTTAATGCGTTTATTTATTTATTTTTTTCTTTTCTATGATATATAATAATTTAATTTATAAATACATAAATAATAATATATTTTTATTGTCTTTTTTCTAAAATATATAATAATTTTTTATCGACATAAATATTTTTAAAATCATTTTTTTTTGTTACTATATTGTTTGATTAATTATAACTTTTAAAAGAGAGAAAGAAGCTTTAATTTAAACAAACTTTCAGCAATTTATTTAAATCCTCAATTTTGCTACTAGAAAGAAAGAAAGAAAGCACTTCCGAGATTAACGCAAGTGATTTTCTTCACACAGTTCACAACCCGTCATCATCGATGACGATAACGAACTTTAAGGGGTCACTTTACGTAACAGGTTACGAATTCTAGTATTGCAAGGGAGCTATTATTAATCGGCCAATTTCCTAATGGTTTGGATCTCTCGTTCGACACGATCCGAGAATAGACTCTCGCCCCTCGTTTAGTCAAGAATTATTTTTCGCTCCTCTTCCCCGCTCGTCCTCATTCGCAGCAATTATTGTTAATTGACGGAGCCCATAATCGGTCGCTTTCACTCTCGGTGAGTGACGACAGAAGCGCTTAATTTCAGGTCTCTTTGGGGGGAGAAAGTCCATTCGAATACAGTAATTAGCATATCGGAAATTGCGATCTTTTGTGAAACTAATAGGCATTATTTAGGATTCTCATTTTATGCGAAATTTCTAATGCAATTTCTGAGAGATCACGAGCAATCGAATAACTTAATATAATCGGAAAAAGGAAACAAAACCAGAACTTTGGAGCTCTAATTATCAAATATGTCTACGGAGAAAAAACCCACTAGTCTCATCGATTTATTCGCGAATAGGTTGCAATTTATTGATGTTTAATTCGGCGTTTTAGTCGCACACGCGAAATGCGCAATGTCAGAAAGAGGACGGAACATCGTAAAGCGGAGATTAATTCCGTCGCGTCGTCCATCAATGCCAATGGCACTCCTGCCATTTCGCGAAACGTAGGAACAAAAGGACATAACGCGCGTACCAAAAAAAGCAACGAGAGTTTGACCGGTCCATTAATCATCCATTCGCTGAGCGTTCTCTTGTCTCTATTTTGCATGCCGGTTGCATTTTGTAGGATCCACCTCCCCGCCCCCCTCTTTTGCCCCTGCGTAAAATGTGGGCATCGAAAACTCATTTTAGACGAACCTTAATTCGAATTTTAGAATTTGCTTTTTCTCGTAGTACTCGATCCTCATATTTTACACTGTTTTACATCTGTAATCTTTGCGACCTCGATCTAAAACGCTCCAAGATATCTCTCACGAGGACGACAACGACAACTTACACGATAAAGCACAACATCACGTGCATCGCAGGGACGTAAGGTCGCTAAGAGTTAAAGCACCCTCTTCATCGATCCGCCATTATCGGAGAACGTTTTCTAGCGTCGATAGCCACTGACCGTAAATCTCGCCACAAAGTAGAGGGAATGGTAAGAATCGCGACGATTTTTACGGAAAAACTGACACGCGACCTACTTGACATTCCTCGGACGAGCGCATTTCGCGATCGTAAACTAGAGGTGCAAACTGCGATTTTAAATCGCGCGCACGTGCCGATCGCCGATGATTTTGTCTGCGAAATAGGAGCGACTGGTATATGCGTTCTACATGTACACTGTACCGATATTCGTTCGAAAAGCGTACGAGGAAACAAAGTGGCGAAAATACCGTAATTTCGTCAAGAGGCTAGACATTCGTCGAGACGAGTGCTCGCATAATAACCGGGCAATTATACTCGTTCATTCATAAAATCTCGGCCGCGCCACTCCTCTGCGCGTTGCTGGGCATTGTCTTTTGTTCGGAGCACAATGAACCGACCATAATGGGGTAAAAGAGTAGAAGCTTCGCGGATTTTCGCCTGTATATTACCGCCCAGATATTATAAGCCATGGATAAAATCCATTGCGTAAAGATCTTTCCACTAATTATTACAATATGCTGATAATATTCTGCAAAGTCATTAAAGAAAATTTGTGCAATAATCTTAATGTATTTTTAAGGTAATTCAAACAAAATTTTGACAATAAAAATTACAAGTTAAGATATTAAAAGCTCTGTGTGACGCGCGCGCATGTATATATGATGTGTGTGGTGTGTAATGAACGATAAATAAAAAATATGAGCTACACGTGCAGCGTTGTTTTATTAATCCAGTGGCTACGACAGCGAAACAATATTTTTAGAAGATCGATAATAAAGTAATATTTTTAGCCGCCTCTACAACGGACGGTGAGAGGATATAACAAAAGAATCGCAACGAGACGCCCTCATAATTGACGATATATCCGGATTGAGAAACTTGAAGGAGTGCCGCAAAGTATTGCGAGAGTCATCCTTCATTCAACTTATTCAATGTACATCTATGCATTTTCATATAAATTCCAAAGATATATGAGATGCTGTTGGCGTAATAAACCCGAATAATCTAGACAGTACTTTTTACGGTATTTCATAAGAACATATAATTGTCGCGAGGTGCAATGACAGTTTTTTCAAGATTGTCTTGAATATCCCATGAAATGTAAATTTATTGCTTCTTTGAAAAATAACAATATTTTACGCCGTTATATTGCACGTGCGCGAATGGCTCGGATATTTTTCAGCGAGGGAGCGTAATGGAAAACTCGCGGCACGAAGTGTTATAGAAACATATGGTGGAACTTACATCTGGCTCGCGCGAGCGAGGAGTGCCGTCGCCCGATAACCGTTGTTGACCGACTTGGTCTTGGTCTTAATAACAGTTTCCGAAGGTAGGAAAGCCGCGACGATCGAGGCGGCGGCCGCGATATACACCCGTTACACGATGACATCAGGCGCGTAGATGGACGCGTAGGCACCCGCGTGCCTTCTTTCATTCTCGCAATAATCGTCGATGTGTCATCGCGAGATTGCAGGATCGCGAGCATTGTGCGTATCATGCGGAGGAACGGAAAAAATTTCTACGACGAGAAAGAGGCAAGAACGTCGAAGAATGTGGAAATATCACGAAACCTCGCGCTCTTTCCACATTTATCAAAGCTATTACATTTCGTTTTGCATCGCACGATTTTCTCGCGCGTTCTCTGTTTACCTCTCCCGCTTTTTAAATAAAATATTGAAATAAGTTCTGAATTAATTATTTCGTGATAAAGAATGTCATTGAGACAATAGTGCACGCCATTTCGTAATTATGCTAATCAGACGTTTATACACCTCCTTACTTCGATGATCTTTCGTATAGTTTATAAGCATCGCTTCGCAACATCAATCGCGAACATCATAATTACGATCATTTACCGTTTGCGCAATTATCTATGCAAACGCGTAAGCGGGAACATTTCTCAGATCGCGGGCGTCGCGATGCAAATTGGCGAGAAAACGTATTTCGTATCGAGCGTTCACGCCCGCGAGAGAGCGACTAACTAACGATCGTTAATGACCGTTTCGCACGATCGTTAAGGAAACTTCTCTCTCGGTTGGGCACGGTATCGGGCGCCGCTTCATTTCATAAGTAATCATACTAAGCTTTCGCGCTTCTCGGCTATGAAAACGACGGGGGGTGAAAAGTAGAAAGGCATGTAGGAATAATTAATCTGCTTCCTCGTTTTGTGTACACAGAAATTGTTTCGCGAGGTCGATGCGAGGAAAACGGTAATCCGTCCTCCCCTTCCCCCCCCCCTCTCTCGTTGCAATTAACGGTCTCTCAACAATTGTCGATAACGATCGCGTTGATCCAGTTTGTTTCCCCCTTCCCTGTAACGAGGGCTCCTTCCACAAGGTTTGTGATTTATTCGTTGCCGTTATGACATCTCAGACCGACTGAATAATTGGTCGTCGCTATTACAAGTCACTATTATGGAACGTCAAGTGTAGAATGTAACAAGTAGCACAGCATAATTGAGTATTAAGACGAATAATAAAATTGTAAGTATCAAAGAAAAAAAATGTTTTCGTAAACATAATTAATATTGTTTGTATAAATGTAAACTGTCTCTTTTCGTGAAAAATCCATCCATAAATTTTATAGAAAATTTAGATAAAAATACGTTAAATCGTTTGCAAAATTTATGAAAAATATTTATAATTAAAAAAAAAATGGTAATCTCTCTGAAATACTTTGCTTATCAAACACGAGCGAGCTTCTACTATATATAAAAAAAAAAAAAAAAATTGTGACTCCACCTAAAATTGCGTAAGAGATTCTGGTATTCGTTTTAGAATGCGGACAATGTTTGCCTCTCCTTTTCCTCCTCCTTTGGGATTATAAATAGCCCCGGCTTGTCGGTAATGCAACAAAACGACACGGCGAGAAAACGTGTCTCCTCCTAGCCAACGTCGAAAGCGTGTCGACGATCGCGTAAAACATAACTTCTCGTTGTGGTTCAAGAAAGACCGAGACTTATGCAAACGAACGACCGTCCGTGACTTTTCCGTGTGAAGTGCTCGATCTCGATCCCGTTGATCGACATGATTTTCCCAGCACGCACTACAGAACGGTATTAAATCACGTTCACTCGAGACGTATGTCCTTCCTTACGTTTCTTTAAGAAATGTGTGTATATGTCTCCCGCGTGTATATAGATATATATATGTATATATAATAGAAATATAATAATTTAATCAGTTTATTATTTTTTTAATAAATAGGAAATTTTAACGAATAGCAAATATCTGAAAATGGAGAGATCACAATTATTACATAACATTACAACCGACACGCCACTGCAAAACGAATCGCGGAGATTTGTTCACGATCGTGAAACCTCGTTGAGCCTCTCTCTCTCTCTCTCTCTCGCAGGAAGCGGAAGCAATGGACGATCCGACACAACCGAGCCGGAAGCGATAGTTAACCGACCGTCATACAAGCCCTTCCCATTCTTTGCGCATGAAAAATGATAGAACGTAACGGCCAAGTGCCCTCAATAGCGAACTTTTATTTTTGTCCGTATGCGATTATACGAGATAGCGAGCTTTTATTTTTGTTCGTATGCGATTATACGACAGCGATTCGTCGAGACAGAATAGCAATAAAATGTGAAGTTCCGACCGGCATTTTAATTTGACGCTCGTAATATAACAACTAGTTATAAATTACTATTTTAGAAAATATTCTTTCTCTTGGGATAAAATATACTTTTCCACTTACTTTGAGGTAAGACCCATAATACTTGGTGACGTACGGGCTGTCGCATTGCGACAACACCATAATCTCCTGCTGTATGTCCTCAATCTCATCTTCCGCCTCTTCGAGATCGATGATCTTAATGGCCACGACTTGCTGGGTCCTATTGTCGATACCTTTGAAAACCTCGCCGAAGCTACCCTTTCCGATTCGCTCCTGTTTCGTAAATATCAGCTCTGGATCCACCTTCTGTAACAGAATTTCAATGGTCTCCGGTTATTACATTCGGTCATTCGACCTTGTCTGGCTTCGCTCTTTCGCAATATCTCGCGTCATTTCCGTAAAGAATACTACGGATCTTCCCATGACGCAACAGTATAACAAGGTATTGGGAAATTTCGAAATTCCTTAGGCAATAGGCATGGACTTTCTTCGCTACAACGCGGCCTTCGGATATTAATAAATGCAGTTATTCCACAAACAGCAATGCAGTTCTCCTTGGCTTCTTTCTACGAGATGACACACGATGTCATAACATGCGTACTATCAAAAAAAAAATGTGCAAGTCGCATCGGCTTTACCTCACATAAACTAAATAAATTATTTACATTTTAATTAATAAATCGCGGTTTTATACTCGTAATAAATTATAGTCCCGGGCTCAGCTCTGAGCAGTTTGACAAATGAAGCGTCTTTTGCTCTAATCCGCTGTTTAGACTTGTATACAAGTGCTGTGCGTGCACATTTCTTCTTCGCGCTCGTGGAAGCTATTTGCACTAAGAGTCGACATTACTGCCTGGACATTAATAAATTACGGTAACTGCGACTGTTTTGTGCTCACCGCGTCTTTTCTCTCCGGCGCTTTTCCGCTCGAAAACGCGTTTAACGCCGACTAGCGAATCGCCTTTAATCAGGCGGAACGGTCGCTTTACGGTCGTAGGCGACGAAAAAAGAAATTCCAGAATTTACTCTGCTACTGATCCTCTTTTATGGGTTTTTCTCCGGAGGAGTCAATGCCCCGTGCATCCCGTAACTGTAGAACGCGAAGAAACGTCGCCGGAATTCTCTTTCTCCAATTCGCGAAAAATTACCTCGCAATAAGAAACTGAGTGCAGGTGGCAAAAAATATCAAAACAAATTACAATGTCTTGAATACGACATTTAATGTTTCACTCGTAATTAAGCGTCGCATCTTTTGTGAAGTTTTCTAATTTACCATAAATGCTTGTTAGAATTCTTCCTGAAATTCTATTCGTTCTCACTAATTAATTAGCAATGGGAAAGAGGCTTGGCAAGTCATCTAATCATAGATATAATTTAGTATTGCCATAGTATATATGTATCGTAATTTTCTTCACTAATAAATATCATGGAGGTAGATCTTTTTTATTCTCTTTTCTTCGGGTCCTTTGGAGAGTTATATTTGTTGATAAGCATTAAAAATGTCAAACGCTAATTTATCTCGGATGCCCAAGTTTGAAATAATAATGAATATGCACGGAAGCTTTTTATGCGAGACTAATTCTTCATTCTCTTGCGCTCGCAATCCGCAGATCACAGTCAAAAAGTCAGTAAACTGAAAGCTCATATCAGAACAGCGAGATTAAAGCGAAGCTTCGAAGCCTGGAATGGGCTCTGAGGGCAATGGAATAAAAATTCGCGTCCGTCGGTAAAATCCGGAAAATTTGCTTTGCAAATTCTCTCATATATCCGTCAGCGGTATTTCGTAACTGTCGGGGCATTTTATCACGCCGATGAATTTAAAGAGCATTGATTTTCGTCGGGCCTCGATCATTTCCATTTCATGATTTAGTGTCATCGATACTTTTTTGACACTAAAATCGATAATCACATGAGCGTATCAAACAGCATAAAAAACACACGGAAATTACGCTGTCATTATTTAGCATTACATTAGTATGAAATTTTACTGCAAATTATTATCTAATCTCTGAATATTACCGGAAATTAGTGCAAATTTGTGGTCGGCGGTTTACGGCAGAGTACAACTCGCTACTTGTTCTAGCAAGTCACGTTAAACCTTGCTTAACCACGCTTGTGTTGCAAGCAATATCTATAAACATTATCGCGCTTGCAATATATTTGCGCAAAATATTTGACAAAATTGTACGACAAAAAGGGAGATGAAATCGTCTAATTTGGCTGCATAATTTCTGATTAAACTGACAAACTACGTTGGTGATGCAACAATATTTAATCAATTAACTAAGAGAGAATCGCAAAAAAAAAAAAAAAAAATCGCATGTCCAACTTTTCCATCGCAAGAGCGCAGTCGAGGCACGCTATATGCAATCTGAGGTTCGTGAGCGACGGCGAGGGCCATCGAACGAGAGCGCAAGAGGCAAGAGAAGAGGATACTCTCAGCATGCAATACTGCATCGTCGAGATGCACCGAGCGTTTCTCCTCTTTCTGAGTTGCTTTTTAGTGCGCGCCGCGCCGCCTGGAACTCGCGACACAAATTCTAATTAGCGGTCGCCGCAAAGAAATCCGCGGCATATAGATAACCAAAGTACCGACGGTCGCGTTCGAGGACAAAGGCAACAAAAATATTTGCATCGCAAAAATAAGATATGAATATTCCTTGTCTACATGTATAAGAATTGAAATTCAAGCTTTCTTCCTTTTTTTTTCTTTGAAAAAAATTTTTCTTCTCTTTCGTATTAAATAATATTATTTATCATCAAAAGATGAATTTTCTCCGTGAGATATCAAGGGAAAGAAATTTTGTATATTTATATCGCTATAATGATGCTTTAGATTTCCAACAAACCCCTTTATTAGGCTGGTTTGGACAATGGCTCGCATTCTGATGGACACGCCTACTCAAAACCATATTAGCTATGCCACGCTGTATAAGCATATAGGTTTCCTGTTGGGCGATCTTTGACCCATAATTGGCGGTCTTGATGAAATTGACGTAGGGCTGCCAAGAGCGCTCAATTAATAACCATATACAGATTCATTCCATTGTACACGGCTATCAGCTGTTGCACAATTTACAAAATCTCGCCAAAATAGCGTAGCACAATAAATATCTCGGCAAACTGGTGATATATCAGAAAATTAACCGTGTATTGTATATGTAGATTATAATTGGATTATAGCGTTACAGTAGTTTCTCGTTCAAACATATGCTACATTTAGCATTAATTTCTCGTTTATCTCGGTATAATTAATTTAAAAAATAAATTAACGTAAATTTCCTGAAATATTAAATTTATTCGGATTATGTGTGAGATATGCTAATCATCACAAAGTAACGTTACAGTTTTGTAAATCTGCTTTGTAAAACTTCTGTACGAGAGATGTACCAAATTTAATGAAGAATGATATTTATTCATACAAATGTGCGAATTATATTCCGCTTTATTATATTTCTCGATGTATATATCTTTCTCGCACAAAATTATTCTACGTTAAATTTCCATCGCTGCGAACAATCATTCGCATTAGATACTCAAATTAATCTATACATACACATTTTCCTAAAATCTTCTTTACCTTTAACGCTACGTGATAAAGTTTCTATTTAATATCACTTCGCTGAGCATGGGACTGAAATAGTTTGCTAGATAACACGAAGTTTGGTATCGTTCTGACACATCTTAATTAAGAAGTGTAACCGCGTCTCAAGAATTTCGTCTCAACCGTCCTTTTAAGGGAGGGACGGGCTCAAATAGACTCGCCGCCTTTCAAGATAAACGTGCCAACTTCATCAGGAAGCTCAAGACTGTCAGACTACAACGAGATCGCATTAATTCCAAGAAGCTGCGATTGTTCTCCCTCGAGATGGGAACAATCCGATACCTATTTGCAATATGTATTCCAGCAATTCAATGAAACGACAATCCAATTCATTTGTATATTTCATCACTCGAAATAAGACATTTGCAATGACATATTTATAAATAATAAATGGCAAATGAAATTTTTGCTGTGATAAAACAACAAATAAAACCTTTTTATTGCTAATTTGTATAGCGTGCAACTGCTTCCGGATGTCGATGCAAATTAACCAAAACATTTGCGGGATTGCACTGGTTAACTTCACCGTTGCAAAAAATTACAATATATATTTTTTGCGGCTGAATAAACTTACACGAGAACCCAGACTATGTACGTACTTCAAACGCGTTGTTATGTGCCAAAGGAGAATTTCATTACCATATGTTTAAGTTTGAGAATCTGAATGCATGACAAATCGGAAGCTTCGCCTAAGTCGCGGGTCTTAAAATGCATCAAGCGAAAGTAATGTTAAGTACGCGAGACAATGTGGTATTTACGTTCGTTTTAGTATTATCGATTTTCTTCCATTTGCATGATAAAGTCCGCTCGATGCTTCTTGATTAAATATAAATCGTCTCGTAGTTGTATTTCCCATGAAATAAATAAAATTATTACGTATTATCTTCCTTTTTGTGAAAAAAGTTATATAAAAAAATTTTGCTTTATTAAATTAAATGAATGCAGAAATACATTCTATACAAATTGCGTAATAGAATTCGTATGAAAAAAATTATGCGCAAGTCTAGAGATTAAATATAAATTTATATTTCTCGTAACGTCAATTTCTCTGAAGTTAAATTGCATTAAAGCTATATCCGAACTTTCTCTCTCGCGTTTGTGAAGTCGTAAAATGTATCCGCGAATTTATCGATGCATTTTTGTTGCGATCTGTAAACGGATAGAAACGGACAATAGGCGCGCGAATAATTCGCTATAAATTGAAACCATCGGACGATATCTGGCGTTGTTTTTTTCACGTTTGTACAACCGACAGAGAATTGCGATTGGCTATCTCTCACGTACGCGATGCGACGCGAATGCAGCGAAGCGATGCAGAATGCAAGAGGCAGGTGCGGGCTGACGCAGCGAGCGTTCTAGGGTCAATCAACACAGTCAATATTGACAATGATAAAACGAGCGGACAAAAGCACGCCCCGACCGGAATCAGAATGATACGCGACAATTCGCAACATCTGCATCGCGGATTCTGAAATGTACAGGATGCGACAAAAGTTTAAGAGAAATATATTACTGAATTTATATTTCTAAAATTCAACAGCCACATACTCTACAAAATGAATGAATAAATAAACTAAAATTCTCCTTATAATCAAAAGTTTCGTCATCTAATTATTTATTTATTAAATTATGTATATAATTTAGTATTTCTTTTCGTTATTTGTTATATTTCCATTTTCTTTTTTTAATTAGACTTAGAGAA